CGTCAACATTCTTCCTGATCGCTTTTCCTAGCTAAATATTCTCATAGCATTATCTATATTCTGATCAAAGGGGTACTATCACGTCCCCAAGTTTCAAAAAGTCTGAAATTTGAAAACAAGCGACTGAAGGCGACAAAACGTCCTGTGTTAACGCCCAAAAATGAATATATGCCTGCAACAAGATATGTGTCAAGATTCATGCCTCAATCAAAGCGATTTTTGTTACTTTTATTTCATGAAAAAAGCTTGTTAGCGCAGTCCCTTTGTGACTGAAATGTAGCACTCACATATACTCACAAAAACTCGCACTTAAACTTACACTCATCATTTCCTTCGAAAAATATGTGAGTTCGACAAAACTAACTCAGCAGTCAATATATTTACTACAATACTGTAGATTTTCTCTCTCGAACCATTTAAAGTAAACAAATATATTATTCACTTTTTATTTTTAATCTCTATCATGTTCTTTCTTGAAGGGGATAGTGTCGGTATAGCTCTTCTCTTAACTCATACTTCCACTCACATTCCATCCAATACATCTAAATCAGCAACAAAAACCTGTTAGCGTCAGTGATGATACACTGTGATGCTAAACCAAGATTAAGATACATTTTCTGTAATTGGCTTGGAACATTTGCCTGGATAGCAGGAGATGTGGGTTCGAGTTCCACGAAGGTCGTCTTTTTCTTCATTCTGTTCGTTCACTGCATTTCTAATCGTATGACTCATATATGATGCTTACGAAACCGTGCCGCTATTTGACTGGACACAGCAGAGTAATGATATGCACGGTTCTATTTCACTACGAACTTGATAATCGACGAAGATAAAGACTTTATGAGTCGAAAATTCCCGCTTTCGTAATTCCATACCCTGACTATATATAATCTGAATTCGATTGAAACTGGCTGTGCTGTTGTAGAGCTAAAACAATTTTATTGTGAGTATCGCGATGTACGATGAAGTCACTCAATCGCATTGTGTTAGTTATAATTCGCTGAATGGTATGCATATGAACACCAAAGATGCTCGAAAACTTTGATCGATACTCATTTATACCTGTCTAAAATTTTCAGAAATACATTTCTTACTATAGGCAAATGAAGGTATACAGAATATGAAGATATTGTATTAGATATGGATATTTGAATATGCAGCATATTGGCTTCATATTTCTGATAAATTACTGGCATGGGTTCGAGTACTGTTATTCTGAAATAAAATAATATAACAAAAATTCTCGTTATAATTATATCATGGAAAGCAGAATAGAAACTTTAACATAGAATATACATTTCAATTTCAACGTAATTTTTTGCTCTTTTAAATATTTAAAAAGCATGTTAAGATAAAGTTTGGCTTCTGTAGAAAAGTCAGCTGATATTCGTCTATCTCTTCAAAAGCTATGAGGAATTTTTTGACAACTTTGTAGATTCGAATGAGTGGTTGAAAAAGAGATATCAAGTCTCTTTCTCATCGGCTGTCGGTGTGGCTATGGCTGTGAGGATCTGGGTGCTGGTGTAAGTTGAGTCAAGACTAGCACCCTCATGCATACCCACACCCGTGGCTGTGCCTCTGGGTGTCTGAGTGTAACTGTGGGATCGGTGTCGAGTTGCGATTGCAAGTGTTCTCTTTACCATCATCAATGCTGAGGCCGTCACCTTTACGCCTACACACATCCACATGCTCCTGATACACATTTTCTTGATTTCGTCTCTTCTGATGAATCCCCTACCTGTTGCAGCGTTTTAGTCTTAATTGCGCATAGGATGTGAGTGTGTGGATTAGGCCAAAGGTTAAACAGAAGAGCCACACCCAAACCCACCCACACACCCACACCCATATGATGAATTCTTTGTCAGATTAACAAAATTCTTAAAAAGATTTAAGGCGATTATAGTTTTAATCAAGTTTTTACTCAAAAGAAAACTATTTCAAATAAATCGAAATAATAAAGAATGTCTCAACGAGAAACAAATCAGTCTTTCTTTTCTAAGAACTTTCTATCATAAAGTTCATATCAATATCGAATTTTAGAAAGAAAAAACAAAATGAATTATGTTTTCTTTTAAATTTTGACAATTATTTAATAATAAATCTATATATTTATAGAGAAAATGTTCAAATCAATATTATTTCGTTAGTTAGTTTAGTTTTCTGTAAATAGTGTCTTCGCTTTATGCCTAATGACAATGATTTGTGAATAGACACAAATAATTTTTAGGTTTTTCTTTGATCAATTCGAACGATAAAATCTCTTTAACTACTCTTATTAATCGTTGAAAAAATGAATAAAAAGAAAAAAAATCGAAATATTGATCAGACGAAATAAAAACTAAAAAAACAAAATGCTAATCGAATAATTAAATAAACGTGAGCGAAAACAAATATGAATAATAAAATCTAAAATAGTAATTCTATATTTATAAGGATTAAAAAAAGGTCTTTGTATTCGTCGAGATTTACTAAAAGTTCAATTTGAACTTGCTGATAAAACTGAAATAAAAATTACAAAAAAAATTCCATCATCAATGACAATAACAAAATTAAAAACATTTGTTTGAAAATTAGTTCTATCACAATTAACAAATGATATTCAATTTTATTTAGAAAAATAATTTCTTAATGACAATAATGATCAATCTTCCATCATCACAATTAAAACTTTCTTTTTTCTTTTTTTTTCTTTATTTATATATTTTAAATAAAATGTCTAACTTAAAAAAAAAGCATTTTAAAACTATTTTTCATTTGTCAAAATATGAAAATTTATTTTAAAAATTGACTAAAGTTTTCTATGAGGAAAAAAAGTAAGATTAGAAAACTAACATTGTCATCACATAAGAAAAAATGTTTCAAATGAGAAAACAACAACATATGCTTCTCCTCATTATTTTTCGTCAATGATAGAGCATGATCGACACCTAAAACGTAGAGAAACAGAAAAAATAATTTGAACTTTTTTTTCTCTTCTGCTTTCCGTTTATTCAATTTAAAATATAATCAACATTTTACTTTTTCAAATTTAACTATCTTTTATTTAATTACTAATCAATACCTCAAATCAAAATAAAACATTTACTTGCATTTATTATAGTCGTTCAATTTTTACCCATGACATATAAATAATCATATAAAGTTGAATATAACACGAAACAATATAGAATAAGTCAACAATCAGAACCAATTGAGTAATTACATTTGTACTATAATTTAGTTTTCAGCTGAATTTAACTATGAAGTTCGTTACAATGAAATTTACTGAGCTGATATGATAGAGGACGCTAGAGCGATCGTCATCCAAAAATTTCTTCGGTGTTGAATCTTTCTAAAAATCGCGTCATATTAACTGTTAAGATGTGATGAGCTTCATTTCGCTCTCGACCTATGTGTGATCGGTGCACATCTCTGATGCATTTACATCTTCCTGTCATTGTTTTAAAATTTCTCATGTAATATCTGCAACGATAATCTTATTTCAAATGTATATATTTAATTGAATAATAATTGTCAGACGACAATGTCTAAAGTCTCTTGCATAGTGAAACTTTTTGAATTATATTTTAATATGATTGACCATTGTGTACTGAATACATATTCGTCTTATGGTTATGACACATTGTTCAGATGTTGAAAACGATATAAGATTTATCTTTTGTTATCTAAAGATCACTATTTGTTTGCTCATTTCTAAAAGAGACTTTTTCTTGTTGTTTTCTATTATAGAAGTGGTTAATTTATTTATCAAATGTACGATTTAAATTTATGGAGAATTCCATATAAAGTCTAATCATCATTTATAAATATTCTCTACTTATCTTAGAAAATGTTCTTTTTCTCATTTTCAAAATAAATAACTTAATAGACAACAAACTATGAAGAATTAAACAATATTCATGTTACCAAGTATAACATTCTGATAAAAAGTTCGTAGAGAAATACTTGAGTTTGTCAATATCCATAAATTAAATATGAAATTAGTAAATATGTAAAATAAACTTGTATATCTAGTAAAGAGTTTGTTTAAATAAAGGTCGAAAAGAAAATCCTCATATCCATAATTGAATAAGATTTCAAAGAAAAAAATCTTTAAAAATGAGACTCGTTTATGCATCTGAACATTTTAAATTCGCTCAAGCAACAGTTTGAAATTCAGTCGATGAATTCATTTCGATTTATTCGATAGAACGAAAAACGTAGTTCACGAAAATATTCACTAAATCATTGAAATACTACTAAAGAAAATATGAATTCTCTATAAAAGTTTATCAATAATTTCATAATGGTCTTCAATGTTGAACCAATAATGAGTTTTTCGTCGTGTGTTGAAAAGAGCTTATTGAGTGATGGTCAATATTTTCAAACAAAAAATATAATTTGTTATTCAACATCAATTATTTTACAGATAATTTATTAATAAAATGAAGCCTTATTTGAAATGATACAATAAATGAATTATCTCATAGATGATGAGATGAATGAGAGAATAATGCTATGAAAAAAGAAAGAAAAAAAACGCAAGAGAATGTTGTTTCTCTCTTTTCTGATTCTCTAGTTTTTTGTAGATTGACATTTGTAGAAGACGAGTTATTTTCCAATGGCACAACGTACCCTTGTTCTTGTTTTGGTCTCCTTTGTTTTAAATATGTCAATCCAAAAGCATTTGATGGTAGCTTTATTTCAAGTAGTCGTGATTCGAATGAAGTAAATATAAAATACTAAATGAAATAAATAACAAAAAGCAAACTTTATTTAAAGAATCCTAACCTATAAAGTTATTGAAAATAAACCGTTAAGATTTGTATTATCTGATGAAGACTCTCAACATGAATATAAACTTTGTCAAGTCAATGGTCTTCCTACATCTGTTAGAAATCCAAATCGATTATTTGTTTTCCATTACACATCAAGAGAATGGAATCGAGAGAATTTTCCATTCATTTTCTTTTATTTTAAAATAACAAATGAAAATCAAAGCAAAAAAACACGAAGAAAAATTAACGACGTTCTCTTGTACGTTTATTAGTGAACCAAACACGAATTTGAGCCGGTGTTAATTGAGTTCGAGTTGAAAGATCATCAGTTGTTGCTTTTGATACATATTTGTCAACTTTATAAAAATGTTCTTCAAGAATACGAATTTGTTCTGAAGAAAAACGACGAGTAGGCTTTCCTGGACGAACCTGAAATGTAGAAGAAGATGAACATATTTGATTACTTACTTGCTGTTGAGCAACAGGAATATAATTATAATATGCATATGGTTGATAATGTGTACACATAGCTGGTCGAGGAGACGTATTGTGTATTGGACAATAACATGGATCTGAAAAATAAGAAAAAGAATCATCACCTGAACTATAACAATATGAGGATTCGTAAGCATATGACATTGTTTGTTTGTTTCAATATTCGATGAATTGAGTATGCAACAGAAATGAGCATATATATATATAGATAGATAGATAGATGGTAATTGATCAGAGTTTAAAACAATTCAATAATTGATACAAAAATAATTAGATATCAAATGATGAACACGAAAAGAATTTTTCTTTTCTCTTCTCTTCTATCATTGACGGGCGTGATCAGGCAAGAATCACTATTTCTCAATTAAGATCAAACATAAAAGATAAACTCTTGACAAGACGAACAACGCTACTTACTCATCAATCAATCGAAACTTCATTCAAATTCGATCAAATAGTCAAAATGAACATATGTACACTTTTATTTCGTAACGACGCGATAAAATAACATGTTCGATTTATTATAAACGAATAAATACAAAGAAAATATGAATCATATTATCCATTGAACAAAATTATTATCATTAAATGACGTGTCTATTCTATATAATAATATTCTAAAGTATGTGGTCAACATTGATCGTATTATAATATTATTTCAAT